GTCTTCAGATGTCAGGGCCCCTGAACGACTGCAGTCTCCATCAGTGATGCTGGCCGAAGCTGCCTGTGCACATTTCTTCTCTGGGCACCTCCTCGTTTCTCGCTACACTGAACAGGTCAGCTGCTCCAGTGAGCCAAGTTGGGCAGGACCCCAGCCCCAGGCCCATGCACCAGAGCCACTGAGCCCAGTCCCATAAACGTGGCCATCTCGGGGGAAAGATCCCCACAGAACATCTTCCTGTCATCTGTGACAACTCCAGGAGCCCTTTAAGTTATTCTTAGACTTCACGAGAACAGGTCTCACAGGTATATATTTGATGTCTGTAATAAAAGTGGGAAGGTGGGTTTTAAAACAAACCAAAAACCCTCCAACAACTCTGCTTTTAGGGATGCCTCAGAAATGCAGATATGCAGTTGAATGGGGTCCTAGGAAGAGCGCTATATCCCTCTGTTTGCTGCCTGGCGTAAATGGGCCTTTGGAAAGTGTCTTGCTTTGGGACAAGATTTCTAAAATTCTGTGATTGAGATTTGACAGGGAAGCACAGTGAAGCTTGCTTAAAGGCACTGACCAGCTTTGTGTGACTTTGGCTTTTGGAATCACACCCTGTAATCAGGCCTGTGGAAGCCTTGAGCCTGTGTCAAAGAGGGGTCTTGGAGCTCCTATGGAGCAGACTGCCCCTTCCCAGCACTGTCCCCACCCCAGCCTTGTGAGATCCCATGAGGACATGGGTACCCATGTATTTTCACTAAAATATACATAGCAGCTCCATTTACTGATACAGTTGTAATGAGCTCACATCATATGTCTGAAGAGATGGCACCAGGGAAAGGTATGCTGTGAGCCGCTCCAGAGCTTTTGATATGCTTGATGTTGACAGAGCTGCACTATTAACACTGAGAGAACTGTCAGGAGCCCAGAACCAACCCCAGGTCTTGGTCTCCATTGGCGAGAACACAGGACATGGTGGTTCCTGAGCAGAGAGGGAGCTGCAGATAAAGGCTTGGTGCTCAGGGTGGTCTCATGGCCAACTTTTCATGGCCCTGCCATTGTAGTGGAACCTGCACATGTTTGGGTTTGTTTCACCTAAGATAATGCTGATCTAGAGATGGAGAAATAGGGGTGGTTATTTTTCCAGATTGGAGAGTCGAAAAGTTCCTGACTGATTTCAGCCATTTTTCCTAGTGCTGTCAGATGCAGAGACAATGTTTAAGTCCCCTGAACACAGTTCTCAGTGGCAAAACCTAGGAAGGCACATGTTCCCAGAGAAGGGACCACATGAGCCTTTGGTGCAAAGCTTCCCCCGGCTTACATAGTTCACAAGGACAAATTATTTAATGAGTTTATTTATGTATAGATTAGGGATCCTGGGTTCTGTTTATATGAAGTCTGCCCAGTTTGTGAATTAAAATCTAGCATAGCAGCCATGCAGCCACCTTGTTCCATAGATGCCATCTGCGTGTCCTCTTGACTGCCCTCTATTTAGAGAAAGAAGGAGAGCTTTATGTGCTTAACTGAGCTTATAGTAGGACTTCTTTGCATATATATGGTACTAAAAATCTTAATATACATCTTTAATCCTTTTTAGGTTGTCCTTTAAAGAGTTTTTGACTAGTTTCTTTTTCTTGACAGCTCTTTTCTTTGGACATATGGGCCTCCTTAGAGGGTCCAGCCTAGGACCCAGCTCTCCTGGCCCTGCCCTGTGTTGAAGGTGGCTGGTCCCTCTGTCCCTGTGTCTGCTAGCACTAGACTTTGTTGCTGTAGATTGATCCAGTGGGTACATAGGCTAATTAATGTGAGTCTTTTTCCTTGTTTAAAGGAGTCCCTCTTGCTAAAAGTAGATGATTACTATTTCTGTCGTGTTAGGAAAGTATTAAGTTTGTGCTGAAAATCCATTGCCATTTGGTACAAATGACATTTGTTCTTTCTGTGAAAGAGTTGCCCTCAAATGTGTTTGTACACAAACCCTTAGGATGGTGAGTTGAAGCATCACCCTTGCACTATCTTCAGTGACGGGGGGGTGATGGCTCAGGGAGATTGCAGGCAGATTGGGCTCTAAGTCATTTTATCAGTTGCTCCATTGGTGAAGTGGCCCTTTCCCTCTTTGCAATTCAGTCTAACTCGTATTTGCTTTGCTGTCTGTGCTGAAGCCCATTCTGCGTGGGTTGCTGTCTGCCTCTCATCAGACTGTGAGGTGCTCGTGTGGACCTGGAGCATGCAGGCTGTCTCCATGTTTGGGTACTGTGTTATGTTTTGCTCTGTCTAAAAACATCTACATAGTTTTCAACTAGAAAAAGAAAAAACTTAAAAATGGGATGTCCTAAAATGAAAGCTGCTCAAAGTCACAGAACAACTGAGGGATTAAGGAGATTGGATGACTGGGAAACGCTGCCCCTGAATAGCCCCTGCGACTGTGGGGCCTGCACACAGCCTTTCCGCAGTTGGCATAGTGGGTGCAGGCCAACAGTTTAAAGAATAAACAGAAGTCGGCCCTTTCACTTTTTTGCAAGTTGGCAAAAACAGACTTTAGGGAATTTCATCTTTTTTTCATACCATGATATTTTCCCATGTTTTTGAGCTTCCAGCTTTTAATAAAAATGGTTAAAAAATGAATTTTTCCCTGAAGTGCTCCTTCCAGGTGAAAACTACTCTTTTGGTTTGGTTTGAAAGTAAGAAAGGGAGGGGAAACTTTGCTTTTTTAATAATTATGTTCAGCCTATGATGAAGTATTTGATTATTGACAGCAATGTCTCTAATAAGTTTTAAGTTGTCCAAAGTTAATTGTAAACATCAGTATAGTACTCTTAGTTATGGTAAAGCAATTGTTGCAAGATGAACGGCTCATATTTTGATGCAGTGTTTGATGTTCAAAACAAAGTGTTACAACAATAAATGAACAGAAACTGAATGCATTAGGCTCTTTCATTCAGGGGACATTGAAACTATCTCTCTAGATTCTTGCCAGAAATTGGTAATTTCCATAAATTAGCATCTTGATCTTTGCTGACACTTAAATTTGTCTACAGGAGGGGATCCTTTTTGTTGCATATTTTTAAAACCTGGCTCCAGAAGTGCAGCTGCACCCCCAGGAACTAATCTCTTGCTTTGTATGTTCTGCCAGGAAAACCCATCCATATGTGACTTCTGCTGTGGTCTTGCTGCTGTCCGGGAGGGAGGCTGTGTTTAGTTTATCTCCTATCCCTCAGCCTTGAATTCCCTGGGAGTCCTGGCCAGAGCCCTGGGACAACCCACCTTTCTTTAAACCCTTCCTCAGGGTGGATACGATTTAGCAATCAATCCTGATGTTTTTATCACAAAGTTAGAGTGATCTTTGATCAAAACCACATCCCATATATTATTAAATGGTGATCTTTTTGTCCTTTCAGAATGTTGGGCCCTTACCAGATACGGCATATGTTGAACCCTGCATCCCAAAGGCCCTCCACGTGAGCGTGTGTTTAGGATGGAAATGTTATGCATTTCCTGCCTCCTTGCCATGACGTGGTGGCTGGGTGATGGCAACTACGTATCGGTCTTTGGGAACACAAGAGCTCAGGGAGATTGGCTAGAAAGGAAATGGTCTTTACCCAGAGCAGCTTTGAGGGCTTCAGAGGAACAGTGGACTTTTTATCCCTGAGCTCTGAGGACGTGCCTGTGTGTGGCTTCTTTCTGTTGTGCCCTGTACCCATTGGAGTTGGCGTGTGTCCTTCCTTTTTCCTTCCCATTTATAGGATGGCATAAGGAAAATACGCATTTATGCTTAGAAAGGGGCTGTGGGGCAGATATGTGCAAACCCAGGTTTCCAAGCTACACGCATGAACTTCAGTGATTCCAATCACAAATACTCCCTGTCAGGCTGCAAATACATAAATTGTGAGAAACAATTAGTCATCTGGGAAATCTGGATTAGCATGCCAACCAGGACATAATTTCAAATGCAGTTTAAGATGTGCATTTATTGATGATACCATTTTGTTTTTAATCATGTAAATGAGACCATTTGCTAGTGTTACATGGAGGTGGGGAGGGCATGTCACAGTCCTTCTCTACTTAAGAAGTGTCCTGACCTTTTCTCAGCAACAGCATGGTATCAGAAGTTGTGAACTTGTGCCTGTGTCTCAAGGTTTGGTATGCCTCTGACTCACAAGCATGCTACTTCGGGTCTGATGACTTCTTGAGGAGCTGCTCAGAACCCCACAGCCTTAAGCTCAGCTGACCCTGTTCTACTACCTGTACAGAAAGCCTTTCCTTTCTAAAGATGCCTCCTAAATGGGCCAGGATCCAGCTATTATCCTGCTTTATCTCAAAGTAGAGGCAGGCTCCAGCTATAATGAGGCGTATTGTGTTTTGCCTATCTTGATTGAATACACAGAGCTGAGATTCACCTTCGTTGGTGAGTTGAGATGCTCTGAGAGGAGGACCGGGTTTTACCCAGTGCTCCAGAGCCGTCTACGGAGTAGGGAAAGCATCAGGTAGTCATCACCCACCTTCTGCCTGGAACCAGCCCCTGCAGCTCTTGAGCACGTCCCTTGGGCACTGAGTGCGGTCTTTTCAAAAGGAGTGTGGGGGAGAGGGCGATGGCGCGTGCCAGCTGGGTTTTCCTGAAAACACTGCTGCACTGGGGCTTTTTCCATGAGTCATTCCTAGGGCAGCCAGGGATACTCTGACAGCTCCCTTTAGCCAGTTCCCCAGCTGTAGTAACGGGGTGAGATGCCATGCTCCCTCCTGCTCCTGGACAAAGAGATCCAAATTTTAAATAGTAAAATGGCAGACCTTTAGTTCTTGCTCTTTTCTTCCTAGCTAGGGTGGGGGGAATAAGTAGGAACTTTGACATGTCCAGTGGCCACCCTGTAAATTAATTTGCATACAGTCCTTAAAGCATTTCTATAGCATAAGAACATCTTCTAGTGGCTTGACGGGCCAAGGAAACCACAGGTCTTGTTTCTGCTGTGCAAACCTTTCCCTGAAGCAGGAGCCACGGCAGACAAACCTCTTGAACACCAAACAGGGAAGGAAGTGGTGATTTATTCAGCCAGGAGCTGCCACAGGTAAAAATACTTCAACAACAGAGCTCCCGGACAAAATCCTTGCCCTTTTAAAGGCTTACAATTTTAGAAATTACATGTGAAAGGGTCTTGATCCATGACCCTTTCATGGGTGGGGTACGTGACTATGTGGGGATTTGATTGTGTTTAAGCAAAAACAATGCCTTCCGGAAGGACTCCGCCATACCATGCCTGCGATCTACAGGAGTGTGATTAAGGGCGGCGCCCGGTCTGCTAGCCTTTACTTCTCCAATTGAAATGCAATGTGGAAGTCTAGGGGGGAAGGGGTCTTAAAAGCTTAAGAGGATTAAGGGTCTCCTTCCTTATCCCCAGTGGGACTTGATTAGCCAGATTTTACCAACCTGATCCATAGAGACCACCTTGAGCTAAGGGTACTGAGAGGTCTCTGTGGCGGCTGGTAACATTAATACTCTGGGGCCTCCCTTCAGAGCAGACGTCTTGCTGTGGGATGATACCGTGTTCTCGGATGGGCTCAGCTGCCAGCATTATATTGGGCCTCCTGGTGCTTAGGAACCTGAGAGGCTCCTCGAGCTGTGTCTGCTGGAGAGTGGTGCAGTGAAGCAGCAGGGAACAGTTAGCCTGGGCAGCCGCTGTGGGCTCCGAGTGCAGCATCCGCAGAGGAGCCCCTCCAGCTGCAGATCACGTGGGGCCTTGACTCCGTCTCCACAAACCAAAAACAAAACCCAAGTATATAGCTTGGATGGGGAGGGGTAACAGTTTTGTAGCTGAGATTAATTTTACTCAATTACTTTTTATAGCCCTTTTTGAAACAATTTCCTTTCTGCAGTTTGCTTTTTAGCAACAACTCCCAATCTGTAAGGCATGCTTCACAAAAGTAACTGGAAGTGGCTTTACATCTTTATTGACACTTCCTGTCTTTGCACTGAAATTGTATGTCATTGAAGGAGCCCAACAAGCTTTGGGAACAGTCTCTAACACGTCACCATTTACAGCTGGGGCAAGGCCTGGGTGAGTAGGGGTAAGTCCCAGGTGGCAGTGGTGAACCAGGCATGGAATAGCCCAAGTCAAGTTGGGGGTCTCTGTGCGGTGGCACTTCAGTGTTTAAACTTCTGCGTGCAGTGTAAAGACAGCTGGCCACAGTGCTACTGTGCAGTAAAGACCAGCCACGGTGACTGGATCTCCCCTGCCAGAGGATGGAGCCTCTGCAGCAAAGTCAGGCCCAGTCCAGGGCCCTCAGAGTGCAGCTACAGGTGGAGGCCTTTCCAAGTCTTCCAGTTGTCAAGTTAACATGACAGAAAACTCAGTGGCCACATCTGCCATGTGCCTTACTCTTGACGGCCTGGCTGGACATAGTAAGGCACGGTGTCCTCAGCAGCAAGGAAAGGCCTTTATGTTGGGGACAGGTGGGAGGACATAGGTGGAAAACGCTAGCCCAGTGCTTCTATTACATATAAAACCGAATATATTAAAGCTTTGGAGTTTTTACAGCTGTCTTTCCCCTGACCTCTCCCTCACCGCCCTAGAGGTGGGAAAGGAAAGGATATAAGAAAACCCCACTAAATGTGGAGTACATTTCATCAAAGTCTGTGTGAGCCAGCTTGCCCCCAGTCACCACGACGTTGACTGCATCTCCTGCCTTCAAGTGCACGATGAGGTGAAATGCCCCCAGACCCCCGCAGGTGCGCAGAGCCCCTGGGGAGTGGTGGTATTCCAGGAACTCTCTCCTGTACCCAGCAGTATGCAGCTGGGCTACGCTGGTGTTGGCGACCGATAGCACTGCTTCCACATAGGCGTCTCTCTCAGGGGTGAGGGTGGCCGTGATCAGGTAGCGCCCATCATAAGGAGCCGTGAAGACCCCTGCGGGGAGAAAGGTAAGCGTTACGCTCATTTGCTGCTGTCACAGTCCTTGCCATAGCAGTAAGTGGTCCCCTAGTGGTTAACCTGGGCCTGGGAAACCAGCCATCTCTGTCTTCCCATGGCAGCTAGTTGCCTGCCTCAGCTTCTTTTTATGCTCACCCCCTACAGCCTACCAGTAATGCAGAGGCCACCTTAGCTACATACCACTTTTTGCCATAGACCTAAGAATGCCTCTTGGGGCATTTCTCCCTAAAGGCTAACTTAAAGTCAGCCTCAAAACTTGGCTGCTGGGCAGAATACCCATGAGGCAGGGCCAATAAAGACGAAGTTTGCCACCAACCCAGGGAGAAGCAGACACAGTACCATGTAACCCCAGGGGCCACGCCAGGCTCCTCCTGCACGAGGTCCATTCTCCCTGCGTTGGGCAGTGGCCAGAAATGAGTGCTGATACTCAGCCCATGACCCACACATTTTGGGCCTGGGGTGGGAAGGGAAGTGGTGGCCAGAAGTGAGGAAGGTGAAAAGATCTGTATGTGCCACTATTTGCTCTTCAGAAGCAGCTATAGGTGGCCCCACAGCTAGGAGAATCAGTGCCCACACCAAATGCGGGCAGGGATGGCCGTTACAGGCTCCACGGTGGACACCAGACCTTGCCAGTGACCACAATCTAAGAGCTGACATAAAACAGAGGGCCCAGGAGCTATAAAGAGTGATCCGGGCCATGCACAGTGTGGCTCACACCTGGAATCCCAGCACTTTGGGAGGCCAAGGTGGGCAGATCACCTGAGGTCAGGAGTTCGAGACTATCCTGGCCAATACAGCAAAACCCTGTCTCTACTAAAAATACAAAAACCTTAGCCAGGCATGGTGGCATGCATCTGGAGTCCCAACTACATGGGAGACTGAGACACAAGAATCCCTTGAACCTGGGTGGCAGAGGTTGCAGTGAGCTGAGATGGTGCTACAACACTCCAGCCTGGACAACAGAGCAAGACTCCCATCTCAAAAAAAAAAAAAAAAAAAAGGTTTTCAGGGGCCCAGGCCTTCAGTCTGCTCTGGGAAACAGAAGAAGCCCAGCCACCCAGCCCCCTTCCCAACTTTGAACAGCAAGTAACTGAAGGCTTTCCAGAGTCTTCCTAAGGCACCTGGCCCCAAGGCCAGCACCAGTCCCAGTGTTCTGGGTGTGGTCTTCACCTTGGTTCAGAGTCGCCTGTGATGAAGCCTTGCTCAGTTCACCCAGAATTACCTTTCTGCACCTGCTCCATGCAAGACTAGAGGTAGCTCTGGGAATGCGATACCATAGGTCACCATCCCTGCTGGCAAGCACTACCTGACCTATCCAAAAGCATGAGCCATCCCCATGGCCAAGGCACTGCAGAATTACCTGGGAAGGGTTGCCTTTTTATAGTCAGGCAGATGGCAGCAGGGTAGAAGAGCTCCTGCCCCAACTAGGAACATCAGGTGCCCATCAGGTGATGATCCTGCAGTTGTTAACTGTCTCTCTAAAATAATGATTGGTCCCTGCCAGGACCACAGAAAGGCAGTTGCCCAATAGACAAAACCTGAAGGTTGTGGTCAGCTGCTTCCTGATAAGATCTCAGGAGTTGTTGGGCAATTAAACTCTCACATGCGCCTTAAGAGGCAAGATGACATTTACAATGGCCTTTAACTGGCGTATGACCTGGGAACACGCGACTGGTAAGGGAAGAACCTTGTGTGAGCATGCACACAACTCCGATAAACACCACGCACACTCCCCTCTGAGGTGCTGGCAGGCCACTGTGCATGCGGACAGCCCCCCAAAGGGAAGAATCAGGAAAGGGATGCAACCCACCCCCTGGAAGCATGCCAGCGTCTAAGACCCCAAGTCACTGGTCAGACCTCACTTGAATCTCTCAGGTTACCCACTTGGCTGTCCCCCAAGTGTACTTTCCTTCTTGCTCTAAAACTTGCCTCAGTCTCTCAGCCTTGTGCCCTTTGGTCAAACTCTTTCTTCTGAGTAGGTGAGCACTGAGAGACCCATATGGATTCCCTGCCACTAACGTACTGACTCCAAAGGCCACAGCCACTCTGAGCAGAGGCCTGGGGGTATGTGGGGCCCAGGAGGAAGCCACAGAGTGGTGGAAATTAAGCGGTGTTCCCCCAGCCCAGACCTGCCTTAGATGCCAAGCTCCACCTTCATCAACCTGGAGCACTGAGAATTCATTTCTCTCAGTTCTGCAGGTGACTTATCCTTGTTAACATGACACTTAAGAGCCACTGCCCTAAGGACAGTGACCAGACAGGGCAAATGTGAGGCTGGGGGTGGCTAAAAACGACCAAGAAGGAAACCAAGTCCCCCTTCCTCCCAGTGGCTTATGGGTGGCAAGGCCTCCCTGAAATCTGGCCCCTCCAGGAGGCCCTGTTCACAGTGGGTGAGCAGAACAGTGACTGCTGAGGGCATAGAGGTCAGGAAAGACCCCGGGCCTCGGGACCTCCCCACACGTGCCTGGGGGCTCTGCCCTGATAGGCCCAGGCACCCCTGGCCCCTGCTTTCCTCAGAGCTGCCCAGCCTAGGTGGACACTGATAGGACACAGGGGACTGAGAGGTAAACTGCACGCCCACGATTCTTGGGACCCCCCAGAAAGAACCTGGGGCAGGGGATGCGCCAGGCGCTGCAGACAGATTCAAGCTCCCAGCTAAAGGGATTGTTACGGAGCACGAGGCCTCTGGAAGAGCAGTCGTTTTTCTGGCTCTGCTCATCATAAACTAGGGGACCCTGAGGGAGCCTCCTGCTTGTCGTGACCCAGGATGTCAGGATGACTATCAGAGCCCGAGAGAGTGGGGCGAGGCGGTGGCTATCAGAGGCAGCCAGGGTGTGGCGGGCTGTGCTGGCAGAGCTCTCATAACCGCCATAAAAAATGAACAGCGACCCCAGTGGTGCATGCTGAGGACTAGCGTGTTGACCTCACGACTAGAAAATGTTACCCATGCTGCCTGCAGTTCTCGAGCCAGGAAACGTTCTATGTGAAGGCCCACTCAGCATCTGCTCTGGGGTGACATCCTCCCTGACCCCACGGGACCCAGGGAACCAGACAGCCATGGTAGGAGGGGTCCCACCTGCACTGGAGAAGGAGGGGGACACAGCACCAGTTCCCTTCAGACACTCACCCGTGCTGGGGTTGTAAACATCCCCGTCGTTCACCAGCACTTTGTTAAAGAGGACAACGCCCCCATTGCTGGGGAAAGGCTTCTGGGTGAGCCCCGCAGAAAAAGATACCAGAGAAGGCACTGGAGCTCCTGGAACAGAGAAAGGATGGAATGGGTTGACCCAGGTGCTTCTATCCTCTGGGGGAAGGGCATGGAAAACAGGCCTACATGCCAGGCCCATTTTAATTTCACCCAAAGTGGTGAATCAAACTCCTCCCACCCACAGGCCAGAGGGTTCCCTGTCTGATATCTGTAGTCAGGACAGCTGAGGAATCTGAGGAAACCGGACGGGCTCTTGTTAGGAGGGTGTGTGTGTGTGTGCGCGCGCGCGCGTGCATGTGCATGCACGCACGCGTGTGAATGCACACTCATAAGCACACGTGTTAGGAGGCCAGGCCAGGTAGTGGGTGCATCATCATCCAGGGAGCTGCTTACTTACTAATAAACCAATAAAATTGGAGCCTCAGGAAGCTCGTCAGGACCACACAAGGGCAGAGGCCCACCCAGTGATCCCCTTGGGAAACTCAGTGAGCCGGGATGATGGAGGGAAGATTCCTTGTCTCGGGCCTGCCTCTAACCCTCTCTGATGAGCAAAACTTGGGGAGTTTAGTCCACTGTAGTCAGCAGAGGGCTGTCCCAGTGCTACTGGGTGGGGAAGGGCTGGGCTCAGGCTTGATCTGTATTAACAGCCTGGAGTGAGGAGGCAGGAAATCTGGGGAGGGGCAGAGCCCACTAAGGAGAACTCTCCTGCCCCGTGGTCTCCCAGCAGACATACCTGGGGAAGCTACAGGAGGCGACTTCGGGTATCCTGAAAAACAAAAAGGAAATGGCATGTCAAACAAGGTCCTATGCACCAGCTCCTTGTTCTGAGCCCCCCTTTTTCTCTTTGCTCCTCACAAGTTCAAATCGAGTCTTCACCACTAAAGAAACAGACATAGAACAAGGCCACCCACTGTCACTGCCCTCCTCGAAGCAGAGGCACATGGGTACCAACCTGTCCCTGCTTCCTCACTGGCCTATTTATCCCTGGCAGGGAAGAGGGCCCTGAGGGCAAGCTGGCTGCAGGAAAGAAAGAGATGGGCACTGGAGCCTTGGAGACTTCTCTGCGACTGAGAGTCACACGAGCCAACTAACATTTGCCCTCTAGCAGTGTTATCTGTTCAAGAGCTTCGCCTCCAACTAGACTGAATGCAGTACTTCCCAGATGGAGGCATGGGTGGGTGGGTGCATAAATGGAGGCACAAACAGATGGATGAGTGGATGCATGCAGGGAAGAGTGCACGGATTGATGTGTGGATGGATGCGTCATGGATACACGGGTGGGTGGGGGGGGTCCCTGGGTGCCCTGGTCTCTACATATGAGGATGCATATGTGGGTGGATGGATAGATGCACAGGCTGCTGGATGGATGTGCCGATGGGTGGATACATGGATAGATGTGTGGGTGGGTGGATGTATACATGGAAGGGTATGTGGAAGGACGAACGAGGGAACGAATAGCCCAAGAGAGCCTAAGCATCCATGATACATGGAACTAACAGAAGATAAGTGTTATTTTAGAAAACGCAGGACATCTGCCTAAGAGAGCTGTGATCACCGCAGCTCAGGTGGCTGAAAAGGAATAGAAAAAAAGAGCTGGTGAAAGAAAACGTCTCCTTGTCTTCTCAGCAGTGACCCAGCCTTCCGGACAGCCATGGGCATCAGGGGCCATGGGTGCACGAGGCTGTGCACTGATGGGAACTGATGGGAACCAACCTCAGCCCTGCCAGTGTCTGCATGTCCCTGATGGTCAGCCTGGTCTGATTCAGAGGGGACTGGTTTGCATTGTTCTATGGCAGATGACATGACCTGCCCCATTCAGGGTTATCTGTTTACCTGTTACAGCCCCAATCTCAGTTTCCTCATCTGTAAAACAACACTGGCTTCACAGTGCGTTGGGAGGGCTGCAGGAGACCCAGATGCAGTTCAGTCCCTGGTACATGGTTGGGATCCCGCAAATGCTCACTGCCTTCTCCTCCTGTCTCTGCTGACACTACCCCATGTCACTGACAGTAATGGTGCAGACATTCACAACTCATGCAGAGCACTTTCCAGCGAAGCGCTCCACAGGGCTTTTCTCCTTCCTCACAGTAACGCTCTAAGGTCTGGCACTCTCCTCACTTTGTGGTTGAAGGAACTGCAGCTCAGAGAGCTCAGGAAGCTGCCCCAGGTCCCAAAGCCTGTGGTTGACAGCCTTCCTGCCCAGCCACGCAGCTGTGCCACCTGCTTTGCTACTACCTAAGCGCCTAATACCCTATGGCTTCCAAGTCCTTCCTGCTGGGAAGATCAATGAGCTGTCCATGTGGCACAGGTACTCCCACCCGCGGTCCCATTCTATTTCTAAGCATCGACGATTGCACAGTCCCTGGGGTGCCCCAGCCTCCACGTATGGGATTCGCATGAATGGCCCCTCAGGCCTAGGCATCTTTGCAAAGCTGCCTTTCTGAACTTGTCCCCCTGAAGGTTAGACCCCAGAACGCCAAGCCCCTCGGCAGACCCCGAGGCTCAGGCGGAAGGTCTGGGTGAGCCCCGAGCTCCTCCCCACGCTCCTCCTACCCCCCACGCTCCTCCTACCCCCCCACGCTCCTCCTACCCCCCCCCACCCCATGCTCTCCCAGCGCAGCCCCGGGCCTCACCTGGTGCTCCCGCAAAGCCTTCCGCGCTGGGGACGGACCCGCGCCCAGTCTGGCCGTCCACGCCCCTTAGCAGGCCTCGACCCGAGACGCCCACACCTGCTGGGGGCCCGGCCTGGCCCGTCTCCATGAAGACCCCGGTGGAGCCCGGCAGCCGGGGCCACATGGTCTGGCCGGGCCGCACGGGAGGGGGTGGCCTCTCTTCTGGGGGCCGCGGCTGCAGGGGCCACTGGGGCAGGACAGGCTTCTGGCCCGTGGGCGGGCGGTGCGCAGGGTCTTCGGGGGTTGCGTGGCTGCTGGGCCTCGGTGGGGCGGGTTCGGGCTGCGGCGGCTCCGTTGGGGCCTCTACTGGCAGCGGGGGCGAGGACGGTTCCGAGGGCTGCTCCGCTGGGCATCGTGGGAAAAAGAAAGAAACACACAGGGTTAGGATCCTCAGCCCTGACTGCCCCATCAGGCCCCTCCGTAAGCCCTGGTGAGTCGGGTCCCCGCGGGACTATGCGGCCGCCCCCACCGCGTGGCGCTAGCAGGACACACGGGCGTCCACCTGTGTCTTCCGAGGCAGCATGACCACCTGGGAGCCACCGGGGACCCCTGCCCAGGGCTGGGGGTTCCAGCCTCTCCTGCGTAGACAGGTGTGCTCTGCAACTGGCCTCATCCTTGGCTCTGGTGCCCAACAATTCCCGATTTCACGGCCCGTGGACACCATGGGAGCGTCGCAAATGACTGAAAGGAACCTGATGGCACCGACAGGCAGTTTCTCCAACGGCCTTTCCTAACCAATATTCCATGAGAGAAGCCCAAAAGAAAACAATCTGAATGATTACTTTCTCAATTTTCCCCCAGGATGGTACAGAGCTAATTCCATTCTAGATACAGAGAAGTCAGTTCATTCCACACAACAGAATGACATCAGGATTTACATCTCTTTAGAATCCTGGTTGAGAAAGGCTGGGTTAGACAGGGAAAGAGGCAGAGGGATTGAAAAACATGGAGATCCCAGCTACAGTGGAAGATTCAGGAGTAAGACACCAGTCTAAAAACACTAAGTAAGGCCGGGTGTGGTGGCTCATGCCTGTAATCCCAGCACTTTGGGAGGCCAAGGCAGGTGGAGCACGAGGTCAGGAGCTCGAGACCAGCCTGACCACCACAGTGAAACCCAGTCTCTACTAAAAATTAAAAAAAATTAGCCGGGTGTGGTGGTGGGCACCTGTAATCCCAGATACTCGAGAGACTGAGGCAGGAGAATCGCTTGAACTTGTGAGGTGGAAGTTGCAGTGAGCCAAGACCATGCCACTGCACTCCAGCCCAGGTGACAGAGTGAGACTATCTCAAAATAAATAAATAAATAAATAAATAATAAAGAAATAAAAATGCTAAGTGAAAGTCTGCTCCCTAAATAAGGAGGCTCACAGCCCCCATTCTCTGCTCAGATCCCAGCCACTTGCTTATACCTCTAGCTGGAAATAGGAGGATTCTTCAAATTGACCTTATAATGATGCCCACAGCCGTAAAACTCTATTTAGTGTCTCCCCGTTAAATGTGAATGAAAGTCAAAGTCACCTGACATATGAGGAAAGCTGCCAATATGAATGACAGAGACCAAAGCAAGCCACACCAACCAATGAAAAGGAACTCTAAAGAGACAGACATGGTGCAAGAAAATAAACACACACTGACCTCAGAGAAGACGATGACACTGCATTTAAGATGCAAGAATTGATTGCTGTACAAAAGGGATAGTCAGAGAATAAGGGTGAGCCTTTGCTGATTAAAAAGGCGCTGGCCAAAATCAGAGATTTCAATAAAAGGGTTGGTAGACAAAAATCAGGGAAATCTTTCAAAAGATAGAAGATGACAAAATGATTGACAATAGGAAGTAAATCATAAAAAAAATTAAAGGGTCAACCTAAGAAGTCCTTCCAGAAAAAAAGAGATCTGAAAAACTGGTTTGTAGGAGTGATGGGGTGGTAAGGAGAAGATTATCAAATAAATACACAACTTCCCAGAACTGAAGAAAATGAAAGATCCCAGCACAATTACTGAATAAAAGGAATAAACCAAGCCATATTCAGGACACTGAAGATAAAAGGAAGATATTACAAACTTTCAAGGGAAAAAATTTAAAAAGTGACTGCAAATCAGGAAGGCATCACCAAGCTTCTCAACAGTATTGGCAACTAGAAGACAAGGGAACAATGTCAATATTGATAGAATATAATTATCAACCTTGAATTCTATACCCAGCCAAAATACCCATCAAATAGAAGAATAGAATAAAGATATTTTTAGACAGCAATATTTTAAAAATTTAAAAATGCTCTCTCTCAAGCACCCTTTCTTAAAAAGCTATTGGAAAATGTGTGCTACTGAAACAAGGGAGTAAACATGAAAAAGCACCAGAGAATAAAGAAAGGAGAGAGAGGTAAAAGCCATTTCTAGGATAGTAGTGAAGGCAGGCTCAGACCTAAAGCCTTATTGAAAGTCTAGAGAATAACCAGTCCAGGCTAGATCAGGAAGAGCAAGAATTCCTGGAAGGGGGTCAATTTTTTTTTAAAGTTGAACAAATGATCTGATACTTTTTATGATGTAGAAAATTGTATTAAGAGGCTGTTGAAGGGTAGGAAGACTCCAAAATAGATACCTAGCGTATACGCAACACTGTTACCAATTAAGAGAAAAGTGAAAAGGAAAGCAATACAACCTTAGAAAGCTATTGAGTTCAGCATAGCATAAATGTTGCATGTTGACTGTGGGATAACTCTGTTGGAAATTGGGAGGAAGGGGAGTCAATATACAATGTCAAAAGCTGATAAATCAATTTAGAAGTATGGAGGTAAGTACTAAAGAAAAGAAACAGCTGGAAGAGTTGCATGTGGCTGCCTCTGGGGCGTGGGAAGAAGGATGAGGAAGGCAACAGGGAAGCTGGTTTTCATTATGACCTTCTCAGTGTTATTTTACTTATTTTTATAAAATATAATTGTAGAAGACACTGAGGGCCTATTTCTCCCCTTTCCCCTCTAATACAAGCACGCTTGAGTCTACGCGTCATCTTCCTTTTCTTTCCTCCTCCTCTCTGGACACCATCTCCCTGGCTCAGAAGCTGGCCTGCCTCCCAGGGCACAGGCCTCTGCCTGAGCCCCAGCCCCACCCTCCCAGCTCTTCTTGGAACGGCTCCATCTGACATCACTCCTCTCTCTTCTCAACCTCTCTTTCCTTCCTCCCCACTAGTTCCTTCCTTTTAACCCAAATGTATGTCTCTCCATCCAAAACTCAGGAAAAAACAGAATTTTCCTTAGGCCTTCAACCCTCAATAAGTTATAGTCAGCAAAGTATCTTAAAATGGCAAAGCAAAGGCCCACCCCCAAACTGGCCCTTATTTTTTCCCCTGTCCCCACCAAACCCTTCACATCACCGTCTTCCTCTGAAATCCACACTTGTTCTGCCTCATCCAGGCATGTGGAGTCCTATTTTACTCTTTCTCCTTTGTCTCCCTTCTCCCCCACCCCCATCTTTCATAAATTTGTTGCTAAGCCCAGCTGATTCTAATTTTGAAATATTGCTTGGATCCTTCATTCACACCTTTTCAAGAATGCTCTTTAGAAAACATTCTAAGCATATTTTCTGTTCAAAAATCTTCCATTGTTCTGTACTTCTCATAAAAATCAAACTGACTCGCCTCGGCCTGACATTCCAGGTACCCCACTTTGGCTGCCAACAGTGTCCTCACTGGTACCCAGCTCTCATGATTTTCCTGGCTTCGTGCCTTTGCCACATGCACCCCTAAAATGGCCTCTTCCAGCACCCTCATTGAGAGAAACGGCACCCATTCCTGAAGTCCCAGTTCAATACCACCACTTCCATGAAGCCTTCTTGGATTGGCCTAGCGGGCTTGAGCAGTCCTGCCTCTGCATCAGGAAGCAACATGGACCCCTGGGGGCTCTTTCTGTGGTTCAGACCTTTTCTCTCTGGCTGACTGATGAGTACTGGAGCATCATAATTTTCTGCCATTTCCGGGGCCTAGCACAAGACCTGGTAACTGACATTGAACAATTTAAGTATTGAGTGAATAAAAGAAGGCTGAACCTACCTATGACAGGTACAATGGGCCATGCATCCTAATTCCTGCCAGCCATTAAACTGGGAACCCCAATTTTGCCAAAATAATTGCCATTCTGGGGTCCTAATAAGGCAGATCTGGTACATATAGGATGGTGATAGTTCTTTCACTATAATCCATTTAAATATATCCATTACTCCCTCAACACCCAGACTTGTTGCACTAAGTGGAAGGCGGAGGAAAAGGAATGAACTAAGATATTGCTTGAGCCAAATATCCTCAGTGGATCTCCTTGGGGAGTCCGTGCATGAGTGCCGTAGACAGCTGAAGGCTCCAAAGCAGCCTGCCACATCACAGCAGAGACAGTCATGAAAAAGCGACATCTCATTCGGATGGGTGCCCCCAGCCCTGGCCTCTCCCAGCTCCGGCTCAGTCCATAGCGTCACATGGGGTGTCAAACGCAGAGGTTTACGACCAAGTCCTAATGAAGGCTGGATAGCACTCTGCTCATTCTGGAAAGAGACCTCTCCAGCAGCCAACTGCTTTCTGAACTGAACATGTGTTTCTAATTCAAGAACGACCATTTGAAATGAATTCTTCATGAGAGCCAAGGGTTGCTCCTCCTGTGTTTTAACTCCTAAGGAATGATAGGGACAGACCAGCCACACTGCACCAGGCCTGCCTGACACCCTGCAGGGGTCAGGTGGGGTCACAGCCTCACCATGGGTGAACCTGATATGCAGGGGTTGAAGGCCACTCCCTCTCCTCAAAAGCTCCTATTAAAAGTCAATTTCAAAACCAAATGTCAATTTCAACTTTTACTAAAACAAAGACTTTCCTAAGAAAATCTCCAATAATTCATGAGGCTGATGTGCTAAAACTCAGTGTCTTCCTCCTGAATTAACACCCTCGCTCATTACAGGAGTTGGGGGTTGCCTCCTGTCTCCAGGAAGCCCTGCTTTCTGCAAGGGCCCTGAGCAGCTGTGCTGCAGGAGGAGACCTGGGGAAAGGGTTGGTCCTGTACTTGGCAACTAAGAGGTGTCTTTTCAATGAGCAGAGGCTGTTGGAGAAAGCCTGACCTTAGCTATGAGGGCATATGGTTGAGGCCTGACTGTGGGAAAGCCACTGAAACTGTGTTCATGCAACAGGCTCAACCTGCAGTACCCTCCTGTCATCCAGGCTGAAACTGATGCCAATCAGAAGCAGCAATGAACTAAGATATTGCTTGAGCCAAATATCCTCAGTGGATCTCCTTGGGGAGTCCGTGCATGAGTGTCGTAGACAGCTGAAGGCTCCAAAGCAGCCTGCCACATCACAGCAGAGACAGTCA